AATACTATTATTGAAAGTAGTTTTCTTTCTTTTTGTACGTGGTAGCTCTTTTTTTCCGTTTATTTGTCAATAGGTATATTTTTTGTCTTTTTTTACGCTGCCATCTATTTGTTGTTTGCATTTCGTTCTAGATTGCCGTTGTATTTATCTTTTCTTTTTCCTAAAGATTTTGTGTTGGTGCAGTTAAAATGAGGCCAATTTCTGTGCCTATTGTATTAGAAAGATCAGAGGGTACAGATATTGCATCAAAGAAACGACGTAGAGCTGAAAGTTTAGAGAAATATAGAGCCAAAAAAATGAATAAAATAGGTCAGGTTGAACGTTCAAGACCATCATTAAGTCATGTTAGGTCATTGTCACATGGTCAAAGTTCCACACAAACAAGTGCTCCAGTAATCCAACCTAATAACCAACGGAGTAATAGTTCTCTTCGGAATAACCAATATCAAAATAATGTTGACAGTCGTGCAGGTAATAATTTGTTTGGTCAAATCATAAACATTGGTGACATATCAATTTGTGAAATATATATGTAATCAATCCTAACTAAATCTATAGCAGGTCAGAAAGTTGTGGACGGACGCCATTTGTTACAAGTTGTTCCTATTGAGTCTAGCGTTTTGCCTAGGCCTCCTAATTGCTCATACTGCAATGCACGGAAATTTTTTCATGAGACATCGCATATGTGTTGTGTCAATGGTGATGTTAATATAAGTTGCAATATTGCGCCATCTTTATTGAGGGATTTGTTTGAATCTAACTCAGAAGAAGCTAAATTGTTTAGAACATGTATTAGGACAGTTAATAATCATTTTGCATTTACGTCAATGGGAGTAAATTGTGATAAGGATCTAGAAAAGCGAAACAAAGGTGTGTACACCTTTAAGATACAAGGTCAACTATATCATATTATTAAAGATGTGTCTGGTTCGCAAAATCTTCAACTATATTTTCATGACACTGAAGATGAGATTGCTAAACGTTTAGAAATATGTCCAAGGCTCACAGAAAGTTTAATTAAAAAAATTATGTGGCTACTTAAGGATAATCCATATGTAAAATTTTTTAAACATCTCCGGGATATGAACCCTCCACATGATTACTGTATTGTTTTGAAGTCTCTTCCCGATGTCGATCAAAGAGTATTTAACAAACCTAATGTATCTCAAGTTGCTGCATTATGGGTTGAGGGTGATGAAAATGGAGAAACAAGCAGGAGAGATATAAAAGTGTATTCCCATGGTGGGCAATCACATAGCATAAGTTATTATTTTGGGTGTTACGACCCCTTACAATATCCTATTCTTTTTCCGTTTGGTGAAGTTGGTTGGCACGAAGGTATACCTAAAAAACAAATGATTCATAGCACTAACACCATAAGTAATAGAACTGGAGAATCTTCTCTGGTGACCAGTAATGCAAATGATGTTGAGGAGTTACTTGATATGGAACATTCAGGTAATTCCCATAATAAATTGTTGTTGTTCATATAAACTTCTTAATAATGATTTATTTGCACGCTAACTATGCCTTAAATATTTGCTTCCAGCTGCGTCGGCGAGCAAAAAGGATAACAATTTTGTTTCAGTGAGAGAATATTATTCATATAAATTACAAATGAGGGAACATGAAGAGTCTATTTTGCTTAGGTCTGGTCGATTGTTTCAGCAATATATTGTTGACATGTATGTTAAATTAGAGTCACAAAGATTAGATTTTTTTAGATTACAACAAGAAGAAATTAGAGAAGAATACTTACAGGGATTGCAAGATGCATTGGCAGCCGGAGAAACAGAGGGCTCGAAAGTAGGTCAGCGAACTTATTTGCCTGCAAGTTTTATTGGTGGACCAAGAAATATGAGAAAAAGATATATAGATGCTATGACATTAGTTCAAAAATTTGGAAAACCTGATATTTTTTTGACAATGACTTGCAATCCAGCTTGGCCAGAGATAAAAGAAATATTACTTGTTAATGAAGAGGCTCAAAACAGACCAGATTTAATTGCGAGGGTCTTTAATGCAAAACTGCAAGTGCTGAAAAATGAATTATTTAAAAAGAATATTTTTGGTGAGGTAGCTGCATACACATATGTTATTGAATTCCAAAAGAGAGGTTTACCACATGCACACTTTTTATTGATTTTACAGTCTAGGTTTAAATTATATAGGCCAGAAGAGTATGACAGAATAGTGTGCGCTGAAATTCCAGATAAAAATGAGAATCCACATTTGCATAAAATGGTCAGAAAACACATGATACATGGCCCATGTGGTGATGTAAATCCTTCAAGTACTTGCATGGTCAAAAAAGGAAAAACCAAAGAGGCTAAGTGTAAACATTCATATCCTAAACAATTTTGTGACCACACATACCAAGTCAATGATGGCTATCCAATTTATCGTCGCCGTAACAATAATCAAAGGGTGAAAGTTGGGCAACATCATGTAGATAATAGATGGGTAGTTCCTTATAATCCATACTTGCTTGCTAAATTTAATTGTCATATTAATGTTGAGGTCTGTTCAACTATTCGTGCTATAAAATACATATATAAATATATTTGCAAGGGCCATGATAGAATAGCCTTTCATGTTAATTCAGATAAACCAGAGAGTGCAATAGATGAGATACAACAATTTACAGCTGCACGTTGGGTTTCTCCACCAGAAGCAGCCTGGAGAATATATCGATTTTCTATGGGTGAAATAAAACCAGCAGTTATTAATTTACAGCTACATTTAGAAAACTACCAAAGAGTAAGCTATAAGCGTCGTGACAAATTAAGAAACATTGTCAGGAATCCTAATAATGATAAAACGATGCTCACAGAATTTTTCCGTATGAACAGAACTAACAAAGAGGCACAAGAACTGAATCTTACATATATAGAGTTTCCTGAATATTATGTCTGGATAAAAAATGAAAAACGTTGGAAAAGACGTATGCGTGGAGAAACCATAGGTCGAATAGTTTCGGCACATCCAGCGGAGGGTGAGAGGTATTACTTGCGATTGCTTTTACTTAAAGTTCGTTGTCCGAAATCTTTTGAAGATTTAAAAATATATAACGGTAGGCAAGCAACCAGTTTTAGGGAGGCAGCTTTAATGAGGGGTTTACTTAAAGATGACAATAGTCAAGATTTATGTTTGGAAGAGGCTTCTCAATTTAGAATGCCATATGAATTGCGTAGACTCTTTGCTAACATATTAGTATTTACATGCCCTAATAATCCTAAGGACTTATGGCTAAAATATGAAGCAGCTTTATCAGAAGATTTTTATAGGCAACAAACAATGAGTCCAACTGAGATAAGGAAAAAAGTTTTGCAACAAATTGCTGAATTTTTGATGTCGATGGGAAAGGACATTCGTTCATTTGGCATTTTAGATGATGACTTTTCAGGCTTCGATGTTTCTTTTAATACAAGAGAATTAGAATCTGAAAGAAATATTACTGTTACTGTTGAAGATTTAAATGCCATAAATTTATTAAATGAAAAACAAAAACATGCTTTTGATATCATAATGAGTCGCATATATGAAAATAAAAGAGGGGCATTTTTTATTGATGGTCCAGGAGGAACAGGAAAATCGTTTTTGTATAGAGCTTTATTAGCTGATGTTAGGTCAAAGGGATACATTGCATTAGCAACAGCAACTTCAGGAATAGCTGCATCAATTTTGCCTGGGGGTAGAACAGCTCATTCTAGATTTAAGTTGCCTCTTCAAATATGTGAAAACCAAAAGGGATGTAAGGTAAGTAAACAAAGCAGCCTAGGAATTTTGTTAAGGGAATGTAAATTGATAATTTGGGACGAAGCACCCATGGCAAAGAGATCAGCAATTGAATCTTTGCATTACCTTTTACAAGATATGTTAGACTCGAGAGAAATATTTGGAGGCAAAGTTATAGTGTTTGGTGGTGATTTTCGTCAAATTCTACCGGTCATTCGTAAGGGTAATAGGCTTGATACAATAGAATCATGTTTAATTAAATCACCGCTTTGGCCCTATTTAGAAAAACTTCAGCTAACAGAAAATATGAGGGCACGTTATGATCCAGACTTCACAGATTTTCTACTTAGAATTGGGGATGGAGTTGAGCCAACAGATGAGAATGATAGGGTTCAAATTCCTGATAATTTACTTCTTTATAATAAAGAATCTGAGGCAAACTTAATTGACCTGTTAGAGTCCATTTTCCCTAACTTTAGTATGCCTGCAGACACATTATGCACAACCAATAAAGCAATTTTGTCTACTAAAAATTCTTTTGTTGATGAAATAAATAACATACTTATAGACAGGTTTCCAGGAGACTTAGTTGAGTATTTTAGTTTTGATGAAGTTTTGAACCACCAGCATAAGGGCCAATATGAAGATATAATTAATTCTTTAACACCAAGTGGCTTACCATCACATAGGTTGATTTTGAAAAAGAATGCGCCAATAATTCTTTTGCGTAACTTAGACCCTACTGAAGGTTTATGCAATGGGACAAGACTTATATGCAAAAATTTATTAAAAAATGTCATTCATGCTCAAATCATGGTTGGTGATTTTGCTGGAAAAGAAGTGTTCATTCATAGAATTCCACTTGAACCATCAAAAGATGAACAATATCCTGTCCCATTTAAAAGAACTCAGTTTCCTGTGCGATTATCATTTGCAATGACTATTAATAAAGCACAAGGACAAACATTAGATGCTGTTGGAATTTACCTCAAAGAACCAGTATTTTCTCATGGACAATTATATGTTGCACTATCGCGTGCACGTGCAGCTGCAAATGTTAAGATGTTAATAAGCTCTGCTTTCTTTAGCAAGGACAACGTAAAATGCACAAAGAATATTGTTTATAAAGAAGTTTTGGAAATGGCAAAGGCAGATCAAAGTAATTTCAGTTTATTGTAAAAGTGCATCTTTTGTATTCATATATAGTTATCATATCAGTAACTAAGATTTCATTATAATAATTGTTTTTTATGTAGATCAAGATGTCGAGGAAATTTGTCCAAATTAAAGAAGTTGATGACAAAACATCAGCATGGACTGCAATTGTTCAAGTTGTGGAGAAGAGTCATATCCAACGTGGCAAGCCACCAAAAAATGTCCCATACAGAAGATATTTGCTCACAGACTCAGACGTAAGTAAATTATGCAAGTACATTTTATGCATCTGTGTTTAGGTGAATAGATAAATAATTTTGTTGTATTTAAAGTTTTCATATAACTGACATTTTATGCATCTGTTTTCATCTAATGTTTCATTCTTAACAAATGAACAGGGAACTAAAGTATCTGCAGTTGTCTATTCTGTTGATTTGGGCGTAGTTTCGAAAAAGCTGGTGCCTTACAGGCGGTATTATGTCTCCAATGCTATTGTCAGTGCAGTAGATCCTAAATATCAAGTTAGCGACTATGCATACAAGTGGAACCTTAAAAAAAGCACCTTGATTGAACCTTACGAAGAACCAATCCCCCCACAATTTCCATGCCACATAGAAATCCAACAATTCCAGAATTTATACCAATTTGCTGACACAGAAAATTTGCAAAGTTAGTATATCAACACAATGTTCACAGAATGCATTCATTTCACTTTTAGAAAGATTACAAAAAATATTAACAATTTTACTATGACATTTTTGTTTCAGATATCATGGGAGTCGTCGTGCATGCCCTACCTGTGAAAGGAACTGCAGGGTCAAAAACAAGGGATATAGTCATTGTCAATGAAGAGTTTGTCTGCTGCTATGTTTCCCACTGTATACTTTTGCGGCAAAAAAGAAAAATATTAAATAAAAAAAATTACTTCCATTTATGTGTTACAGGAAAAGGCCAATGTTGTTCACTCTGTGGAATGAATTTGAGGAAAATGAGGGCGTTCAACTATCATCAACAATCCCAACAGGAAATATCGTGCTCGCAATGAGGATCAAAGTTACAACTTTTAACTGTAAGTTTTCCCAATATGGATAACTATTTATTATTTCATTATCAAATTATTTTAAAATAATGTACCTTTAACAACATCCTTTCACACACAGCTTTATCTCTAACGACGAGGTTGCCCACCTGCATTCTAATCAACCCACCTATGCAAGAAGCAATTAATTTAAAACAATGGTAAACATACATGTTTATATTTCAATAATTTATTGAAAATAAATCTAACATGATGCACATTACAATTACAGGTACATAGACCACAAAACTGAAGTTGCACGTCTAATTGAAGATAATGCATTTGCGAATACCTCTATCCTTTTGCCACCGCCGAATGGCAATGATGTTATCACAGTTCAAGCAGCTTTACGTTCACTTAACAAAACAGTTAGTGTCAACAACACAATGTTCAATGTATATATTATTGTATATTTATATGCGACAAACTAAAATAAATTATTTCTTTATTTCAGGTAAAAGCTACATGGGTGCAAGGTCAAGTAACCATGGTCACAAACCAAAAATCCTTGTGGTTCAGTGCATGTGGACATTGTCACACTAAGCTTGAAGTTCCAGTTGGTTGGGAAATGAAATGCACGATATGTAACGGAACGGGAGTATTAAATGCACTCATTTATGCTGAAGATGCTGAAAAATTGATACCATTTACTGCACAACAGATATATGAGGCTGAGAAAGAGGTGCACATCATATTTTAGTGAAAATACGCTACCAACACACTTGATCATTCGTATTGCTGAATTTCTAACAACCTGTTTATCACCACTTTATTAGGGCAACGATTTGCTGTCAGAAATCATAACAGGCTTTTGGAAGAAAACTATCACATGCTTCATTAGGCATTATGAGTCAGATTATGGATATACTATGGACAGCTACGCCATAGTGAAACTATACTTAGAAGATGAGATTCATGGAGAGGCAAGGCAACATGCAAGAATGGTACACATTAAAATTCATGGAAATTTTGTAAAGTCCTATTCATTTTCCTTTCACCATAACTGCTAAATGTACATCTACAGGAAAAACAAATTGCGGCAGAGGAGCATCTGATAACACCAACTGGTAGCCAAATTCCATTTGCAGGCGATGATTCGCCTTACTTCAGAATGGGAAAGGGAGCAGAAAACCAACCAACAGGAAGCTCCACCAAGCGAAAACTAACCTTCAGCGGCCCAAGTGATTCGAAGGATGAAACCGACCAGGAAAAATCGCCAAAGCAGCTTAGTGGCACTTCAAATGTGGAACAAAAAGCTTTCAATCCGAAAAAACCACGTATTTAAAATCGCCAAAGCAGCTTAGTGGCACTTCAAATGTGGAACAAAAAGCTTTCAATCCGAAAAAACCACGTATTTTGGATATTTAACTTGCACATTATATTTTTAGTCATTTGCTTTTGTTAGGGAGATGACAATGAACCCCAACTATTTTGCGTACTGGCATTATCTTAGAAATATTATTGCTGATTAAGCTTATAGTAGTGCACATGCTTAATGAGCATTAATATTTTGTATTTTGATGGTTTGTGTGTATTGTCTGTGTGTGTAACTTCAGGACTTCAAACAAGCATATTTTGATGTAATATTTTGGTGCTTGCATAAATATAAAAATTATTGTTGCTGTATAAGTTCCAAAAATTTTTGCATATGAATGCTACTCAAATAATATAATCGCTGGGCCGGCTGTGCATCGCACAGCCGGAGTCTGCTAGTATTATACATATTATACACCACAACTGAGTCAATGAAACTAGGCTAAACAATAGTGTTTAGCTCAAATTAAAAATAAATTTGCCAAAAAAGAGAGGCAATCCCTAAGGCCTAACAAAATAAAGACGATGTATAAACTAAGCATTTAAGTACAAGACTAAACAAACATTCGCCTAAGAAGGAATAATTTGTACTATACGGAACAAATAATGAGAAGAAGTGGGAACACTATTGATTCTCCTTACAAAAAGTAATCATTGTAGATTGGTCGAGATAACTCTAAATATATCACAATACAAAAACAACAAATCACATACCAAACAAAGGGCCTAAACACACAAAACAATACACAACAAAAATATGTACAAAAAAAAATAACTACACTTAATTCACCTAACTATACAATTTTTTGCACTTTACCCACTCAATTTTTTTTCGTGACACTTTGCCCATCAACATTCTAAATAATTGCACTTAATCAATTTCCGGTCATCGTCCGACCATTTCTAAAGGCAAAGTGCAAAAAAAAAAAAGTTGAGTAGGTAAAGTGCAAAATAAACGAATAGGTGGGAGGGTAAAAAATGTAAATTTTTCAATGACACTTAACTTAGTGAATGACTGAAAAGTCAATTTTGCCCGTAGAAATTTCCGACGGTAATAAAAAATTGGTTAAGTGCAATTTTTTGTAAAGTTATATAGGCAAAGTGTCACTAAAAAAAGTTGAGTGGATAAAGTGCAAAAAACTCTATAATTAGATGGGTTAAAGTGTAGTTTTCAAAAAAAAAAAAAGAAAGAAATACTAAATAGACTAACACCATACCAAACTTCCATCCCGCTTGACCTCACTACCACTAATACGAACCGACACCCCAAGGCGACCACTTGATGAGAACTTGAACTACGAAATAGGAAACACTGAATTTTGGACAGTCTAACACTTCTGACAACTATTGGCTATACATATATGTGTCTTGCGAACCAGATCCAACTTTCTTCCCAAACAGCCTTCTCGAAACAACGACCAGAAGAACCATAGTTGCCTTCAACGTCGCTCCATTGGCGAAAGCCCAGGGAGCAGACTCGTCTGAAGAAGCTAGGGTCCCGAGAAAGGTTCAATTCATGCGATTGGTGGCACCGGCGTCAGCTACTCCTTGGCCAAAGCAATATAGGACTTCATAGGCGAGGAGGGTACAATTTGCAAATATGCTCTCTTTTTTTATGAAATTTATGTGTGAGAGAAGATTTTGTTGGTTTTACCCAAGAGCGCTTGGATGAGATGGCTTGGTCTTCCAGCTTAACCAGTGGTCTCGTGTTCGAGTCCTGGGAATGCAGCAGTGTTAAAAACTCTTGAGGGAGAGCTTTGCCGCCCTTGTGGTCCTACCCGACTCGATTTTGGATTAATCGATTCCCCTGTGGATCCGAAAACCGGAAGGTCCATGTAAAAAAAAAAA